AAATATTTTTTCATTTTTATTTGTATGTGTGTAAGGCATAATAGTTGCTCCTTATATATCCTCTCTCTCGGACCTACTCCCATCCGACAGTTCACACTCCAGTTAGTATATGTGTAACTCAATGCGTGTATCTAACATGATTTAGCGGAAACAAACGTATGCCCTGCTTCAGTTTAAAGAATGAATATAACACTTATGAAACATATAACGTCAAAAATGTACATGTAGTTTGTCACTTATCTAGAAGATAATTAAGTGTCCGTTAACATGTTTATAGAGAATACCAAATTTATTTAGACTATACTTGATGGGAAGCATGATCTAGGAAACTGTAACATATTTCTCGTTCTCCTAGACGAAGCCAATGTCAAGGTTCACAAAGATCAAACGACGATCGAAAAATTCTCATTTTCATAAAAATCAATTTCAAACGATGTACATACTGGTTAGATTAATTTTTTTACGAACGGACACGTGCTCTTTTTGTTGACCGCTACGAGCTCTCTGTTATCGATTTAGTTTACAACCAGACACGCGTAAAACTTAAGGCGTCATATATTTCATACAACTGACTGGAAGTTATCTTGACATGTACGAATCACCTATCATATAGTTACCCTTGCCTATACCTGTACCCAATATATACATGCCTAGCTCTATCTCATAAATAATCACACGTTCCAAACAGAACGATGCGTTTTTATAACATTTAATTCACCACGACTTTTACTTTATAAACGTTCAGAGCAAAATATCCGTTTCATGGATTTCGTACCGGGAACAATGGAATTAATCACGAAACACAAACACTAAGAACGTTAATTTAGACAAAAGTCAAACATACTTTCCACCTAATGGGCTGCTTACAAATGTAGACGTGTCCGCGATAAAAGTGCGAACGAACAGTCCAATATTCCACTACCTAGTTCGCAAAAAACACGGTTCTCGAGGCTATATAATAATTTCGTCATCGAGACTCGACGATTCAGCTTTGAACGTCGCGGCCGCCACGTTCCAAGCATGTGGACGTCGTTTCTAGTTATCGTCGCCTTCTTCCTCAGCAAGGGTAAAGAAAAAAAGCACCTATTCGATATCTACGTACTCGCCAAGATACGTTCTACACAGTTGTATCGTTTCTTTTAAACGTTTTATTTAAGATATCGTGACTATAACAATTACAATTTAAATTCTTGAACTATACGACTCATTCAACTCCCGTTCACACCCCTTCTCCCCCAACACACATTTTTCTTTCACACACCTAAAAGCTCTCTTATTATCTATATCTACATTTCTCTATATACAGGGTGTAACAAAAATGTTGGAGAACCTAAAAATGGGAGACTCGTGAGGTGATTTTAAACAAGTTTTTCCTTAGCAAAAATGTTATCCGAGGCTTTGTTAACGAGATATTAACGAAAAACCCCGACCAATCAGAGCGCGAATGTGCCGGCCGAGTTCCCGCGGTAACGTAATGGCTACGGGCTGCGATTGGTAGTTAACCTAAAGCCTTGGATAACATTTTTGCTAAGGAAAAACTTGTCTCAAATTACCTCACGAGTCTCCCATTTTCGGGTCCTCCAACATTTTTGTTACACCCTGTATATATGTATATATACAACAACAGCAACATCTGTGAGTTACAGGTAGCACGAACGAGTGCATACCTTATTACAACGGTAAAGATTTGATCGCGTGCATTTGCAACGCGACCTATTGCGACGATATACCGAACGACGATCAACCGAAACTCGCGGAACATGGAACCTTCTACTGGTATGTATCGAACCTGGACGGACTCAGGATGAATGTGTCGACAGCGAAAATCGACGAGCACGAGTCCCACGATACATCGACCACCTTGGTGATAGACACAGAGACGAGATATCAAAGAGTTTTCGGATTCGGCGCAGGTATAACCGATTCCGTCGGTATAAATTTGAAGAAGCTCAGCGAGGACACGCAGAATCAAGTGATACGGTAACCGTTCCATTCGAACATATACTTTGGAGTCTATCATCCAGAATTTCGTTACGATTCACAGGACATGTTACGATCCAAAAGTAGGAAGCGGGTACAACATAGCTCGAATCCCAATCGCCGGTACCGATTTCTCGAAGGAACCCTACACGTACGACGATGTCGATGGGGACACGTCGCTGGAGCATTTTGCTCTCGCGCAAGCCGATTACGATTACAAAATGCCGTTCCTGAAAAAGGCTCTTGCGATGAATCCTACAACAAAAATAATCTCGGCCCCGTGGTCAGCGCCCGGCTGGATGAAAACCTCCGGACAGTACGAAGAATTTGGTAAGATTTCCATTCAAAATCGATCCGAGGCATCGGAATACAGTAAATCCTTTATGAATATTCGAAGGTTCATCGTCACTGAATATTCAGACGTTATCCCCACCGCTTGACTAGTTCCAAGGGAGACCCTCCCACCCCCCCCAGTTTTGGGGATGACGTCTGAACACTCAGTGGCGATGAGCCTTCGAACACTCATCAAGAATTCACTGTATGGAAATGATCGACATTCGAATTCTAGGTTATTTGAAGGAGGAGTACTATCAAATTTACGCTAATTATCTGGTGAAGTTTCTGGAGGAATATCAGAAAAACGGCCTGGAGATGTGGGCCATGGCGACAAGTAACGAGCCCACCGTTCATTTGGAGATCCATCTGCCGAATATCATTTCTATGGGATGGACACCCGAGGGCTTGAGCAAATGGGTCGCAAACAATTTAGGACCGACCATGGCATCGTCGAAGAGCAACAACACCCATATATTGGCCCTCGGCGATTATCTCACATCGTTACCGTGGTTCGTCGAGCCGATGCTCAGCAATGAAAACGCGTCGAAATACATTGTCGGAACCAGCGTGCATTGGTATTTCGAGAACAGATCCCATATAACCGTCCTGGACGGACTCCACGACGAGTTCCCGGATAAAATCATATTGATGACCGAAGCGTCGCAGAGTGAGTCCTTTTCTCTACGTTCAGAGTTACCGTGTGTGTACACAGGGTGAGTCATACAAATCGATCCCCAAAAATATCCGCGAAACCGTTCATGATACTGAAAAATGAATGAAAGTTGAATGGTTTCGAGAGGGAAATTATTTGATGTGAGCAGTTTTTGGTAGATCGACGCATAGAGGATATATATAAAGATCAAATTTGTCTTTTTTGTAATAGAACGATAATATTTTTAATGTATCAGTCGATACTACTCGTCATTCCACATGAAGAAGGTACTAAGCTATTTTTCACACTTGCGCGCGACATCTAGGGGCGTACATTTGAACGGCAATTTTTAAGAAGTTGAACATCGTATTGCCACTTCGCAATTTTGAAATTAAATATCTCCTAAACTTGAATATTCGAGGGAATCGATTTAAATGACTCATCGCGTATATATAGGCACACGATGATTTCACTAACAAGTTTCAATCGTTTCAATTTTGTACGTGTGTAGTACCGCAATTTTGGGGAACACCGGACGCTTTGCCGCAATATTGGGATCTCGCGCAAGATTATATATTAAGCATAATAGAGGTAAACCCGACTTTCATCTTGGTGTGCAATAACGCGAAATGCGAAAATGAATTTTGAACGTGAATAATTTTCAGTATTTCAATCACTGGGCATCCGGTTGGATGGACTGGAATATGGCACTGAACGAAGAAGGCGGACCAGACTATCCCGGGAGAAGCTTGAACGCAGCTATTCTTGTGAATCCAGAGAAGGATGAATTTTATAAAACGCCCCTGTTTTATGCCATTAAACATTTCAGTAGATTCGTGTGCCGTGATTCGATCAGAGTCTCTATCACCGATACAGAAACGATCAAGACTACGGCCTTTGTAACACCCTCGAAGGAGGTTGTCGTTGTACTTTACAATAAGTAAGAAAATTCCACTTTAATTGTCTCGTTGAGAAAACGATTCGTCCCTTTAAACCCTATACTATGTATAGACCCTTTGTCGTGAAAACTTATTCAAAATAATCGTTTATTCCATGTTTCCAGTCAATCTACGTCGGACTCCGTGACTCTAAAGGATCCACTTAAAGGTACAATTCAGCTGAACTTAACGCCACGTTCTATGAACACCATCACGTATAAATTGTAATTATACTTTATATGCTGTCCTGTTATTTATAATTGCATATAGCACTGTAACAATATAAATATCTATGCACCCGGTAATATGTAGTTGTTGATTTTCATTATGTGTACCCGAAATTAGCATAGCGGGCAATGACTGTCATGAAACGACAAAATAGAAGCACAAGAACGATTTCGCAGAAATTTAATTTCACAGAAGTTCCTTAGTTGGAATCAACTTTAAAGCCATATGTTCCGTGTCTCTAGTTGATCAATTTTCGAAACCTCGCATTCCAATTTTCCTTACGATTAATAAAGAAATTCAACTGGTCACATACCTTAGTCTGTCCCTGAAAATTTGTTGCTCCAATCCGTTTTAGATGGAAACCATTTAATATACGATGCCTCATGGTATTTTTGCTGCCCTTTTTTCGAAGCGATGCTTTCCTGAACGCCATCTGTAGTAAACATTTCCCGTCGATTCGACCGTCCAGTAGTCGCCGTAACTGCACGGAACCGGGGACCGTATGCGAGCAATAAGGACGGACAGTAGCCATTTCAACCCTCTCGTAAATTTCAAGCCGTGCCTCGGTAGCTCAACTTTGTATTTTGCCGACAGCAACAGTGAAAAAGGAAGAGAAACTGCTTATAAATTTATTCTTATACACGTAAAATATGCAAATCTTAGTCCAACGTGTAATATGTTCTGCACTTATGCTTATTCATAGAGATCACAGGGAATCCTTAGTTTACAAAGGGAGAGCAGTAAACTACAGATGTACAGCGGGTGATCTATCCCCTATAACATAATAATTTAACGCAAGGCCACTTTATATTAAGTCTCATCTTACAAAAAACATAGCTTGTATATTAAAATAAAAGTATTTTCTGAATATCTGTTGTATATACATAAACGTATATAATATGTATCATAATGTATAGGAACGTGTTACAGAGTTTGAATTAATTCTAAGCTTATTCTATTACGGTTAATATCAACTGTCTGCACTTTTACTTCTACACGCTGACCTATAGAGAGTGTGCAATTTTTCATCCATTGTTTTGGTATGAGTCCGTCCCTACCAACACCTACATCCACGAATGCCCCAAAATGAGTAACGTTCCTCACTGCACCCGTTAACGATGTCCCATTGCTTATATCCTTAATACTAAGCATACTATTTCGGAACAAAGGATAATTGGTCTTCAATCTTATATCTTCGTCTTTTTTCATAGATAATCCTTGAACGATTATTGCCATCGTCGTCGCATCTGTGTGGAATTTTTCTGCCAAAACGTCACACCCTCTACGCGCGCAAGACTTTACATTTTCAATGAATGCTGTAGTACCGAGGTTTTCCAACTTACAACCACAAAATTCCACAAATTGCATAGCTAATTCATATGACTCAGGATGGATCCAGGTTTGATCCAGCAAATTGGGAGTGTGTTTTTTAGAATTCTTAGCACCTGCAGCTTTCACTAAGTTATCAGTCATTGATGTTTCTGGTAATATTCTGATGAATCCAGCGCACTGTTCGAAAGTTTTATTTCCAATGCCCTTCACGTCCAATAGCTGTTGCCTGTTTTTAAATGGACCAAATTCAGTTCTCCAATTTATGATATTGTTTGCTCTAGTCGCATTCAAACCAGCAACCCTTCTCATAAGGCACTGAGATGCAGTGTTCACATCCACTCCTACAAAACTCACAGCCTCGGAAACTACCTAAAACAGTTTGAGTAATTTTCATTATTATTAGTAATTATATGAGTTAATTACTTTATTAACACAAAATGAACAAAACTTCATACTCACTTCGTTTAATGCCTCTGATAATTGTTTCTCCGGAAGATCGTGCTGATACATTCCTACACCTAAATGCTTAGGTTCTACTTTTACTAATTCAGCAAGTGGGTCTTGTAAACGCCTTGCTATCGAAACTGCAGAGACTAGATTGATGTCAAGATCTGGGAACTCAGATTTTGCTTCTGGACTGCAACTGTAAATTGATGCTCCCGCTTCATCAACTATTGCATAGAAAATATCCATTGAACCAAATGCTTTTGACTTTATCAGTCTATTCAAAAAAGACTCTGTTTCTCTACATGCTGTTGCATTACCCAATGCTAAAATTGTACATTTATGTTTGGTCACTAACTTTATCACAGTATTCTCAGATTCTTCTATAGCTGTCTTCCACTTTTTATGCGGATAAATTACAGCTGTTTCGAGAACATTACCATGTTCAGAAATTACTGCAAGCTTACAGCCATGAGAAAATCCAGGATCTATACCAAGGATAATTTTCCCTCTAACAGGAGGAGTTAGAAGTAACTGCTTGACATTAGTTACAAAAACTTCAATGGATGCGGTCTCTGCTTTCTGCTTCATTTCATTCCTAACTCGGCGAACTATTAATGGTTTAATGAATTTCGTGTAGGCACAGTCAATACTGTCATTCATTACAATCTTATGAAATTGGGTTGCTGTCCTAGCTTCTTTGTACTGTTTGCAACACTGTGTTTTAAATGCACGTTGAAGAAAGTCAGGCACTATAATTTTCACATTCAGAATTTTTTGTGCCTCTCCCCTGTTAATAGCTAATATTTGGTGAGGTTTAATATTTCTTGTGGTGGTATTAAAGTCATAATACGTCTCGTACTTTCTATTCACATCCTTTTCTTTACTATTAGATTTATTGGTTTTGCATTCCACGGTTTGTATTTGTATGGAACATGTATCTTGAAGCTCTTTGACCTTATCAAACACTGCTTTATCCTTGTTTATTGTGTCTGCAATTATGTGCATAATTCCTTCTTTGATCTGTTCCTCTGTTTTCAAACCTTCCTTTTCAGAATCAATAAGTGTTGATATATGAGGCAGTGGCTGACCCTGTAGCACAGCATTACTGATAGGTCCCAAGCCTAATTCGATAGCTCTTGCTGCTAGAGATCGTTTGGACGCAGGCTTGTAAAAGGAATATATGTGATCTAAGTCCTCTAAGGATTTGCTGGATGTAATGATAGAGTGTAAATTAGGTGTCCATTGTCCTGATTTATCAATAACCTTCAGAATTGTGGCAGCACGATGTTTGATTGTTTTAGCATGATCAAAAGTCTCTTTCAATGCTCTCAGTTCATCTGGTTCCATACCCTCAGTCATGTTCTTTCTATACCTTGCAATAAATGGTATTGTGTTGTCTGCTTTAAAAAGCTCTATGACATTTTCTGCTATATGCCTACTAACATTATTTATTTCACTTATAAACTCTACATCTGTCCATTCTTTACATTCTATAGAATTAGACTGCAATCTCATTTTGTCTTTCAGCCTTTCTTTAAGGTTCTCTTCATCAGAAGTTTCTACTTCTTCTTTCTTAGTTTTCTTTGTTACTTCTGTTTTGAAATCTATTGATTCTTTTATATTTATATTTGTAACATCTCCTGTTTTTACTGTTTCAATCTTTGGCTTTGCTATTTTCCTTGTCCTCTTTACAGGTGACACAGAAGTTCTAGCTTTTCTTTTTTTATTATTGGCATTAGCGTCATTGCCTGAAGATTCTGTCTTTTTCTTTCTTTGACTTGTTTTGGCCACTTTTTTTTCAGGAACATAATTATCATCGCTTGAAACATTTGCTGCTTCATCTTCAGAATCACTTAATTCAATTATTGCTATTGGTTGAGATGTTTTACGTAAGACTCTTTTCATTTTATTAGTTTACCGAAATACTATAATAAAATAGTAAGTAAATTATAAATACTGAAATTTTTGGAAAGACTTATGTTTTGCGACAGATATGTAACAGTTTTTTTCAAATGGTACAAAGCGAATGAAATGGAGAGTGTTTTTATATTTTTTTATTAATTTATCGGAAGTATGTTTTTTGTCATTTTTATATTAATAAGCACATGGAAAGATAGATCCAACACACTTTAATGACGCGCAATTAAATAAATTAAGAACATTGTGTCCTCGCAAATGTTTTGTTTCTATTTTTATTTGGACACCTTCCGCATTCAAACGTAAAACATCTGGTCACTTTAGTTATTAACAACTGTAACATTTATATCTATAATATTAAAAAAATATTGTCACTGTGTCACAATTATCTGTAAATAAGACTGCTGGCATTTGCTTGCACGATGAACACCACGGATTAATAATCATCCGTGATGAACACTGACGTGACAACTTCTGTAACTGATGAACACTATTTTGAATTTAAAGATGGCACAGATAGCAGATGGCAATAACGGCAATAACCACCTAACCAAACCTGACCAAATCACGTGGGTATCATTGTAAACGTACCCAAACGTACCTTTAACTAACTTTAGAGAACGTACTTGTAATAATATATTTTTGCAAGTCTGGAAAATAATGGTGTTACAAATATATTACAAAGAAATTTTGAGATGTGAATTTCAAATTTAATATATTCCGTTTGCAGTTTACATACATACTTCGAATTTTTTCCATTAACTATAAACTTCATTCACCGGGCCATACTATCAATACTTATTGATACTTATCTATTCTTAATGTATCTTGTATTTATCGGCGATACCTCTTAAGAAGTATATTAATTCCCTTATATAGAATTAAATATGCGCTAGTTAACATGTACGTTAACAACATGCAATATGAGTTAATTAAAATCAGTCATCCTCACGTCGTTAGTTGTAATATGTACAAAATACACATATAATGGCAGAAAAATTTCGGTGGTTGCTGAAAGGTGTAGCTAGTGAAGTGAATAAACACCGATTGTTTAATAATGCAAAGACAACAGTCAATAATGCCACTGAGAAAGCACAAGAAAAATTGAATACCATACAGAATGCTGTTGCTACAAGATATGATGTTATTGCAAAGGTAGTGTACTCTTGCTTAATTTACAAAAATCTAATCATTAAAATATGTAACAAAATTTCTATTTAACACATTTACATCTAACTGTATATAAAATAAATTGCAACAAGTGTTACATAAACATTGTTTCGTTTATTTCAGCAAGTCAATAATGATATAACATTAATTCAAAATTTAAATGCAGCGAAATTAGAACCAAGTCCTTTACCAAAGGGAGTCGTGAAATGGTTGCAGTGGTATCAGCAGTTAACAGGTCTAGACACAGTTGAGGTAGCCAAACAACAAGTAATTGCAGCTCAAGATAAATTATTTAAATGCCAAGATGAGAGGAGAACTCTTAATCGGCAAGCAACTCTAGTAACTGATAAATTGAAAGAAGTATACTCAGAGCTTATACAAACTAGAAGAGATGATCCAAAGTATGTGCAATTAACAATAATAGAAAATAAAAGTCTTCAAGATCAAGCAAGAATTATATCAGAGCTTAATTTATTAGAGAAGGAAGAAAAGGATCACTTTACACAATTAACAACAGCTATTAAGGAATATCATGATAGCCAAACAATGAATGCTCAGAAGTACAAGTACTTGTCTGTTCTTGCATCTGCCATATTAGCAGTTATATCGTTAACGGGTTCTATGATATATAATAATAAGAGAATTGCAAATGTTCGAAATGTTATAGAAGAGGCACAGGTAAAGAATGAGAGTGCTTTACGCAATAGTCTTCAATCTTTAGAGGATAATATCAATACAAAATTTACTGAGGTACTTGAAAAATTGGAAAACGAAAACAGTAAACCAAGTACAACTCTAGTCAGTCATATGGAAGACACAAATGAGTTGAGAAATACTTATATTTTAGTGGGATTATCTGTTGTTGGTTTATACATTCTCAGAGGATTGATAGGTTGAAGGTACAATATTAACATTGATGTATAATAAATGTTATTGATGGGTTAGCTCCTCCCAAGTGATTTATAGCTGTGTTATTGGAGATAATTTTTTGCTTTTAACGCAACATTAGGAAAACTTATATACGTGACAGAAAATATTCCATAATGAATTTAGTTGTATTTATTGTGTGTAATCTTTTATATTTTGTGTAAAGAACCAAGATTATACACTGTGAGAAAAATATGCCAATGTATTTAATAAACTACACAAATACAACATGGTTACTACCTAGGAATAACTATTCAATTTTGTGATACGTAACACATCTGTGGAATAGACAATATAAGGAAATACATTTTAGTATTTTAAATATTTATGAAGTAGTTTTATTAAAAATAAAATGAAAGTATTTTTTAAATAGTAAGCAATTTAAATATTAGTTATGTCGACCATTTTACGTATTCCAAGGTTTCCACTCCATGCCATCTGGAGGTTTCCTTTCAACTTTTCCTTTTCCTACTTCCGACCAATTAGTACTCAGGACTGTACCACCAGACTCTTGCTGTTTAAAAAATTAATAATATCGATACTTTATATTAAATATTTACATTTTTGCACATCCTTTTTGGAGTAAAAACACTTACAAACGATTTATTCATCGCACGTCTAACTTCATCAGAGCCACTACCATATATCTGTTGGAACAAAGCATTCAAAGCAGCTTCACCAGTAGGCTTTTCCTCTGCCTCCTGTTTCTCGATTTCTTTCTCTACCTTATTCCAATCCGGTGACTTCTTACTAGAACTAGGATACTTTGGTGGATGATTACCAGCTTGTAGAATTTCTTGAAGTATAACATTTTTATTTCAATACTAGTTTATAGTTTATAGTAACCATTCTATCATTAACAATTGTAAAGTTTGTTTCAACTCTATTGATTAAATTAAATCAACTACTAGTAAACATTATTGTACCATTTAGACAAGTTAGGAAGAATGATGTCAAAAGTAATTAATAATAATAGCAAATATTCATAGCATAACATTATATCCCATGTATCTGTAAAGATCTAAGACCAGACTCAAGCCCTTACATAAGTCATTACGACAGACTACTCTGAACAATTTCTGACCTGGCAATTGAGTTCAAATAAATCTTACTAAAAACAAACTTGTTTACCTTGTGGTATAGGCTGAACTATATTCTGTACAACTGGATTTCCTTCTAAGGCAGTCCATCTGATGCCATCTTGTTTTTTCAACTTGATTTCTATTTTGGATGGAAACACTTTATGCGAACTCTGATCTGGTACTATGGAATGAGCTAAATCTAACTCCAAACTATAATCGTTTCCTGACGGCAATAAAGCTGACACGCTTAACTAGAAAGAGTGAAGGATTATAAGTTACATTCACTGAAACAATTACTAAGAGATTAATAAAATATACTTCAGATAAAGATACACATGTCGTCAAATAACATATTTACCGTGTTTTTGTCGTAGATAATTTTAACATTCTGAGTATTCTTCGCGAGAATCGTAACTATAACATGAGTCTCCGTCTGATACCAGTCGTACCTTGTTTTTGGAACTGGCATCTGTAAAAATCCAAAATTTTTATTCGATAATAGTACACTGTCAAATCATTGTCTTTTCTAGATCACTGCAAAACTCACTACGTTATTCTCTATTTCTGTAGAAGTTTCTTCACTAGCCATTGTACTGTTTTTCCTAGAATTAACAAAGACTCAGATCATTCGATAAGATTTGACACAAAATTATTCGCGTATACCCGCACTTCTCGAAAGTTCACACCAGTTCACACAGATATCATACGCCAGGAGCGTAACAATTGACACTGGCGGCGAGATAGTAGGAACATCAAATTCTCCGCTCTTCTACTGCATAAAATTTTGTTTTGTTAAATAATTATAGGATAAACCATATCCTATATAATTATAGGATATCATACAATCATGCTTTGAAATAAATTCATTTACATCAATGGTCAAAATGTATAGTCCCCAATCGTTTCCAGAATCTGAAAATTATCAACCGAAATGATAGTTTACTCTTGTGTAATATTATTCAGGAGCATATAATGCTTCTTGTAATTACATATTTTGATCATCGGTTTTGCTTCTAATTACTTGGAAATTCAACCAAAATTATTCTACTTCCGCCATGGCGATTGAGCGGTTGAACGCTCGCTAATTTCCGGGAATGCTTGAATCACCGACTATGTATGTCTTCCTTGGTCTTCCTGTCTGTTCTTCAATGTTTTGAAAGGGTATTTTGAAATGTGGATTTAGTACGTTTTGAATGAAAAAGTGAAGTACGAAAAATTTTGATGAAAAATGAAACAACGAATTGAAGCGATTATTGAAGACGTAATTGTGGAGCCAGATAAAATTCAACCGATCATAGGTACCCAGCGTGTATTCATTTAAATAGCAGTGTAACGTTTCAGGCAACTCGTGTTCTGTATCCGTTTGTAGTAAAATAATATACTCAGATGCCGAAACAATATAATTTTCGAATGATCCATATGAATTTTTTTTATTGGCGTTAGTTAATTGTTTCTGTGAAGTCAAGTAGAAATTAAAAGGAACACTTCGTGAATTCGTCAGTGTCACACGTAATTCACGTTTTCTGTCTTAAAACTTTTACAAGTAATTCTTTCGTAGTTAACTTCCAAAATGGAGAGCTCAAAGACGAAGAGGCCAAAAAGATGTCATGCAATCTGTTCTACGACCAGCAGAAAAATAAGACAATGTTGGCTCTGTCAAATGGGCAGATTGTTTACAGAGGTTACAGACCCGACACGAGCCAAGACCTCATGCGTACTATGCTCGTTTTTCACAACAGAAAAACGGGAAAAGTTAGATTAGTTCAAGCGGAACGATGGCAGGTAGCACCAATACTAGATAAGCCAACAGAGGAGAATAATAAAATCACAACTGATGAAAGGATTGCTATATTGAACAAACAGTTTGGTTCGAAGAGGGTAAAGCGTAGAACGGAACAGTTTGAGAAAATGAAAGTGAATGTGGACTCCATTAAGGAACAGTTAGAACAAACAGTATCAAGTAAGAACTTCCTTGGAATTTTGTTTTTGAAATAAAAATACCAACGCAGCATCCATTAAGCTTTTCTGTTGGTGTGCATGTAACTTCAATGAAAGAATGAAGCATAATCGTGCTACCTATAATTTTTTACACGGGAAAGTAAAACAAAGCAATTTCATTGTTTTGATACTTTTGAACTGCATACCCAAAAGCACCAATGGAACTCAACAGTCATGTTACAAGATTTTAAACTTGTTTTCTTTTATAGATGTCGAAATTGATAGAATGGATTTATCAACACAGTTACCAGACAATGATTACATTACAAATACTGCTTTACCAGAATGTAACAGAGATGCTACTAATGTTAAAGATGTTTACAATGTATACGATATTATACCACAGAATATGTTAGAAACCCTTTATGACAAAGCGACAGAAATTTTAAACAAGGATTCAAGTAGTTTAGAAGGGTATGTTTGTTTTTTTTTTAAAGTAATATATTTTTTTTCCTTATTACTGGCAGTGGGTGTATCATGTATGAGTTATATTTGCATGTTACATTTTTAGAAAAACGAAGTTCTTCAGTAGGACACTAAAATTTATAAAGACAGACCCAGACAATGTTAAAAAGACAGCATTATTGCATTATATGCAGGCAGTTGCCACATGGTTAAATATGCCAATAAAAGATGCTAAGAAACGGGGTATTGAAGTTTGTCCAACCTCCCAAGAGGTGAATTCGTATATAATAGAAACATATAGTGTACAGAGTTCTCATGGAAGGTATATATGTGTATATCAAAGAATATAGCAGATATTTAAAACATAAAAAACGAATATATAATGTAAAATAATTTATAGGATGAGACCAAACAGTGTCAAAGACAAAGGAGTGATACACTGCATGATTTTGGCTCTAGTAATCTGTAACTTTACGTTAGATGTAGAAATATTTTCAACAATATTTAATCATAGGATGGGTCTGAAGAAATTAAAGAGTCTTGCTAGAGTCATCGGTGCTTTATCAGGGAAAGATGACAAGAACATTGTTACTTTAAAAGTTCCATTACCACCAGCGGCACCTCTTATAAAAAAGGGCAAGAAGAAATAGTTAAAAGAGGAGTACAATATTCAATAAAATATTATCTTATAAATTAAAGCTAAGTCCACTTTTAACGTATTTTATTATGGTATAAGAAGATGTTATAATGAATTTGTTTATTATGTTTGTGTCATTTTTTACAATTTATACAATACTGATAGTATAGATAGTACAGTAAATCATCGATGAGTGTTCGGTGGCCCCTCGGCACTGAGTGTTCAGACATCTCCACCAGGGGGAGATCTCCGTGGAACCACTTAAGCGCCCAGTAGCGAGGTGACGTGTAAACACTCATTGTTGATTTACTGTATTGCATTCTATTGGTTTGAGTTGTAATTACTAAATCCCATTTCAAGATTGGCTATTAAAAAAGTGGGAACACATTAATAATAATCAGCAATACGTAACTTTTAATTGTATAAATTGTGTTAAATTAAGAATACCAGACATTATGATTCAAGTTAAGATTACTTAACAATTTTATATGTACAAATATTAAATATCGGTCAGACATATTTTGTATCATACCATTTTTCTAATAATTACATATTTAACAATTTAATACATATTAACAAATACATAAATAATTTACATATATTCTACCTTACATTCTCTCGTAAAATATACTTTCAAACTTCACCATAGAGATAAACCAAAACAATGTCCTATTAGAAGTATCTTTGAAAAAAATGTAAAAAATCCTGATTCTTTAATAATGTATTTACCGAAAAAAAAAGATTTAAATGTAAATTTCCATTCCAAGCGACGAGTCAGTTTAGAGATGAAAAGAGCAAGTAGCTTTTAGTGTAAGAAGGAATACACCATGTGAATAATAATGGGACCACGAAGAGAAAGCAACACAGAGACAATAATTATATTCAGATAACGCCTGGGAAGCTCGAAGAGCGTAGACACAAAGGGGGGGGGGCGAGAAGGTTAGGAATCGATGATGATTAAACGATTTTAGACTGATTCTAGAGCCGTCTCTCGTGGTTAACGGAGGGTAAGGTCGAGGAAACTGGCACGTTGGCCGGCCCTGAGCGATTCCCCGCAATGTGGGTCGTCGTCTAACTGTTCCACGTACCGTTCCGTCGACTCAGTGCTGTCCATTAGTCAGATCCAACTCCTTCTCTTTCTCACCTCCGCCCCGTCGATAGCTGAGGAACAGCGAAGCATCTCGCCGTTCCTCTTTCTTCCTCATTCTATCGACAGCCACCGCGTACAGAGGAATCTTTCTCTAATCGATACACCGTGAAAACCTTAGAAAGTTTGTCCCTGTTCCTTTTGCGCGGTTTAACAGGAAGAAATTAGAGTCCCGTAACAAATAATCATGACATCGTGAAGATGTCTTCATAGAAATGTTAAAATGTGCGCAACGACGGTTCATTGTAGAGAAAGATTCTCGGAAGAGGTCAAAAGATTATTTTCATCTCTGAACACTGTTTCGGGAGAATTGTTTTTCTAGCTTTATTTTTCAATATACTGTATATAGTTTGACTGAAAAATGACTGAATGCTTTTAGAGGTTTATTAATTAATTGCTGAGGTACTAAAACAAATGGGGACTCTTTAGACCAATTAACCCTTGTGTAGGCAACCGGGTACCCGGGTACCCATTTCTACATTTCCTTTCATAATTTTTTATGTTCTTGTCTAAAACAGCACTTGGTATATTATTGGAAGGGAAAACTAACAGTTTCAGAAAAGTATGAAAGTAAAATTATGTATGTTTATTCAGATTGTTAAAAAACCGTGAATATTTCAGTTGCCTACACAAGAGTTAATTGAAGAGTTACTCTAAGCGTTCTATGTATTAGTGCAGAGTCAACTTAAATATGTGAAAGCTATTTGTCCAAGAGTAATTTCATAAATCAAGAAAAGTGTAATATTGGTGGAGGTTACACAATGTAATGGATATAATGTACAATGAACAATTTCCACTGTGTATAGAAGAATAAATGAAGTATTAATGCATTTAGAATTCAAGCACAACCCTCCCTTTAGTATTAAAGTAAATTATAAATAGATAGTCGATGTGTCCATGCTTTTAAAACCCAGAGTTTCATATGTATACCAGTTCACAAGACGACTAATTTATTTCTTGCATTCAAGATTCTGTTGGGCTTAAAATAAAATGGAAACTTTGTCTTCATTCTCTGTATCCACAAGCGAATCAGAACAAACTCCACTGAAGCACAATTTCACTATAAAACTGCTGCTGTTGTAAAATTTGAAAGATTCAATGTCCCCCCACGGTCCCTCTGGTCCCGTTGGCGTCCAACCGCGTGGATGGTTACTGACGTAAAATGGTATCGAAAGTTTTTCCTAATGCAACGTCCGTTTCACGAAATTGAGCCGATTAAAATTCACGGGGCCGTACTTTCATTCGGTGCAGAGTGACGTCGTTGACAGGAGAATCTTCCCGGCGTGTCTTTTTCTTTCGACGGAATTTCCTCTTGCTCTTGTAACCATTTCGTTCGACGGGCCTTCCACCTCCTCGTCCTCTGGTCGTCGCATCCGTCGTCTTCCTGCTGCCACCTGGTCGTCGAGGCACTTCAGTCGACGTGTGACCTTCTACCAGGGCTACGGGGCACCGTGGGACACGTCACACACGTTTTAATCGTCCTTCGTCGCCGCGGTTCCGATTGTCCACCTTTCCTTCGTCTCGTCGCGAAGAAAACTACCAAAGGGGTCGAAGGGTTTGCACATGGGGCTGTGAGTGATTCCGGGGTTCCTCCGAGACCACGTCGTGTCTTCAACGACTGGGAGAATCCTTCTTAGACTTTATTTTCATCTGTGAAACAAGGTACAGTCTCTAATAATTAATTTACTCTAGAAAATGTATTGCTTATTGCTGTAACGTTTAAAAAACCGTGTAGGTTCACCACTTTGACCTAAATTTCTTTTATCGTTCGGTCATTGTTTCACTGGTTCATATATTATACACTCATATAGGTGAGTATGATATAATATATCATTTGTATAAAAATACAATAGTCCGTAAGGCATTTTCCATCGAAAGAGTGAATCTTTCGAATTATCACCAGGAATCCATAAAAAGCAATAATAATGTATAATTTTGATTTATTATAATGATCAGCTTGAAATGAAATAATATGTACTTCGTAAGCGCTAAGAGTTTCTCATACACGTTCGAATGTTTTGCATTTTGTCCCTCGTGAATACACTATCGATGAGCATAACCGCTTTCCCAGAGCAACGTGCGATTAGAATATTCTGCAATCGTTGTACCGTTATAATTAGGCCGAGTTTGCGCTGTGTTAAAAGTCTCAAACCGTTCCACGAACCGGCGTAAAAATTGAATCTGAAACCGGTTGGTTTGCTCTGATTTGCATCGGTCCAACAAGCATCCCTTCATTTAAGAAAAGAAAACAAAGATGGACGCGCCTCGTCTTCCTGATAAAATGGCTTTTTTTTTCATTAAAACGGAAACTAGAAGCATAATTGCTATTTTCTTCACTTCCTTCTTTCTAGACAAAAAGAAACGCACATACTTCATCTTCTTTCCTATCCCATCATGTCCAAGTAAAATGAGACTTCTAACCTGCAGGGATTAACTCATACTTTGAGTTTTAGACACTTGAATGTTGTATCGAAAGACCAGAAAAGAGGAAACCTGTCCTAATGATAATAACAGTAATTATTCTTTCCTAAACATTCTTGTGAATAAGACCAAATATCGTTATTTTTATTACACTTAAAAATAGATGCTTAAGTTTCCATTATTCACCTAAGAGAATCTTTACAATTACTATCGTTGTTCCAAGGATATTAACCAGACACCAAAAGGAAAAAAAAAACCGTGGGTCTATGGATTCTTATGCAAAGTAACATTTTTGCATCGAATACCGACATTCACTTAAGTATTCCGTCGAGTTAAAGACAACTTAAGAATACTTTCAAATTTTTAGGACAGTTCGGTTCAATGTGTACAGTAGTATATTCCATAAATGCGCGGAACCCACAGTTTATCACGTGACAGATGCCAGAGGCTGGACGGTAAAATACGAATATAAAAATGCAATTTCGCGAAGGTGATTGAACATGATGTCGTACCGAAGAAGCAGGTCGAGAGAATTCCTGAGCCGGTGAGGATTCCTTTCCGTGGCGGTTTGGTCACGGAAAAGCGGATGATTCATGACCCTGTACCCGAAACAACTCTCGAGGAAGAAACCCCGAAACCGAACCGGCAAAAGTGGGTCATCGACGGGCAGTTAATACACACTGATATACACACGATACGTTTCTGTTTCGTGTACCAGTCACCGAGTTAGGAATCGGCGAGGCGGTCACGGTCACGACGCATCTCAGCCCACGAATATTATGGTCACGGACCGCGAAAGGCCTTGGCCGGTGTCAGAGCCCGCCAAATTCGTATTGTCGGGTCGATGCACGTGCCCTCTGCCTGCCCACCCATGTAAACACTGCCCGTTGGCGCTGTTTGGCTTTGTTTGTCAAGGACCATGGATGGGACCGCAGATTCGATGTTCCATTTCGTTGGGCCGTGCAATCTAGATTTGGTGAAATATTTAACAATAACCGAACCCTTCGAAAAGGTAGAAATTAGAACGACAAAACCAGTCATGGGAGGTGTAGTGTGAATAAAGTTTAACACGCAACCACGGTTTCTTTTGTAAACATTCGTCACAGACCACTCTGAGTTTCCATTGTTCTATTCAGTGGAATGCCCTTAACTTCTTGATTAGGTATTAAAGAGACATAAAATACAAGAATATAACTTTTATTCTAATATAGTATGATGACCTATAAATTGACGTTGGTAACGAACGTGTTAATCAAGTTAGTTTTACTTTGCTTGAATCTAAGTCCATGATATTAGACTGAAACTAGGCAAGGATATAGTAAGCTCATAAAATATGATCCTCTCAAAGAAAGACCTTGCTACCGAGTTTCAGTGAACCACCATTCTGTCAGGTACACATTATTATAGAAATCAATTGCATTAGGACCAAGAAGAGTAAATAACAGGAAGATGCTAGAAATAAAAATAACAGGAAGGAGGAAAGAGGGATAACTTTTACAGTTATCTGTAACATAGGATGTGTGTGACACAATCTATGAATCATGTATGTATTATACTTGCAAAGAATTACCAGTTTTCTAATAGTAGATCAGAAGAGAATTGCTTGTTACAGAATCTTCTAATGCAGTACAGATTATGAGAATTAGACTTTCATTTACAATGATCTTACTATTAACACTTTCATTGCCAACTGTTTTAACACATATACAATTACCATTCCCAAAATCAATAGGTATCATTTCAAGCATCAAGAGAAGTGGAGAGATGCTTTCCAAAATTTAAGTAGTTACAACTAAGCATAAGTTAACAAAGTGCTGAAATACATTCAAACAAAGAACATTCAAATCATCCTTTAAATGATTAATTTCAGACAAGAAAAGCACTCCATACACAACATTGGTTCAATGAAAAACCATAATAAAGTATATCTAACAAAATCAAACTTATATACAGACCGTGTCACCACAGAAGTGTCATTTAAAAAGCAAAATTAAAACCAAACAAATGAGTTTGTAGACAGCAGTACAAGTTCGCAGTAAGTTACACATCTCCTGATTCTCAGCCTTGAACCAAAACCTACTTATAAGCATTCACCAGGGACCATCATCGAAATGGGCTGTTCACATTGGAACCGTCTCGGTGAAACTCTTCCTGGTGACAGAGCGGAATTACCTCCCAGACGTTGTCACGTCTTGTCTCCGGCCGTGACAACGAAAGCTCCCACGAAAGTGCGAGTAACGAAATGCTAATGCCAAATACAGCGATCGAGATCGCAGCCGAGGCCTCGACAAAAGCTGCAGGAATGCCACGTGAAAGAGACGAGAAAGAAAGAAAGAAAGAGATGGGGGCAGGGGGAGCATCGGTGAACGAGAGGAAGAGGTAGGAGAACGCGAAAGACCCGTTACGCGTTGGAACGCAATTCCGCTTGATGAAAGATGTAGCAGCTTGTCCCTGTTTATCATTTCATTGTGGAGTGTGCTCCTGCCGTCGCCACGGTCAAGGGGGCCCGTTAATTACAGGCAGTGGCTGAACACGCTTTACAGGCCCGCAATTACCATCAGCCGAGCGGACAATGAACGGTAATTGCGGGGAACCGACGATTTCAGTTTTACACATGGCGATCGACGCGCTGCTGGAGATTCTCATCCCGCTAATTGGATCAATTTGCATTCACGAGAAGTGTTTATGAAGAAGTGTTCGAGAGAACGTTTCGTGGTCCGCGGAATAGAGAGTTAACGCTTAATAGAGATCGAGTGGAATGCGTTCCGGAAACGAAGATTACAAATGAACACGACATGTCAAACTGACCCAATTGTAATTTATAAAGACTGGAGGAAATGTAGAAAATTTATTTGTCCTGTTAAGTATCTTATTGGGTTCAAACTAAAATAGAATAATCATTGGATCCGATGAAAGTTTTGTCTTTTATTGCATTTCATAGAACCGTATGGGCTATAAATGCATAATTCGCAGTTTACTTATTGTATTCTGGCTTTTAGATTACGATCGTAGATAAAACTTTGATGGCATACTGAATCAACTGTAAAACGGAGACTACGATAAAAATTACATTGGTGGCTGTTTTACATAGGATAGAAACTTCTTGGGCCTTTCTCGTGGTAATGTCGTTGACGCTGATTATCAATATGACAGCCATTCTGTCAAATGGATGCAAGCTTATGGAAAATAGGAGAATACGTTCAAGAGTTTCTATGTTTTCTAGACACTGGGAAAAAAATACTTGGCTATAACAATTCAGTGTTGAGACAATGAACGTGATCTTCGTCTTTTTGTTCATAGGAAGAAGAATATAGTGTTTAAGACATTTCGGTATACAGGCCCAGCCACGCAACTGGGACAAGACATCTCTTTTGTTTGGTTGATAAAATGACAGGGGAAACGGTTGAATGATACAACCAGGGTAACTACTTTCCTGTAACCTCACTGCTTCGTTACTATAATGACGCGTATGTAAATTATAATTGTATCTTTTTTAAGCACAGTGTTTCTTTAGGCAGTTCCGTTTTCTTCTTCATAATTACACCTATGTAATTCTCGTCGAAAAAGCACAGAATACAACTAGAAAATTTTCGAACAGTCGATCTTTGCTTCGGCTCGAAAGCGCCTTTACGCAAAGGCTGGGTGTGTGACGCGTTTACAGTAATTTCACGCCCATGGTACATGTGGACAAATCCGGTGGGCGTATATACCGTGAACTGTGTGCACGTATCCCGCATATGCACGTTCGTGACCATGTCCAGATACATTAAATGTAGGACACAAGGGAAGACACGGGTACTCCTTTCCGGCCCCTTTTACTTCGCCGCGGTGATAAACTCGTAGCCCAGAAAAACGAGCCAACGTGAATGCTGAATACATACAGAGTTGAATAATAATATTCAATCCCCTTGGAAATCATTGATGGCTCGTAAAAATCTACTAATGTACTGAATTTAACTGTAATACTTACATAAAAACTACGAAAGTAAGCTTTTAAGGAAAAATAAAATTAGGACACATGTGTTACAATGATGTAAGTAACAAGATGATAGTCCCTCAAGGTATTCTAAGGTCAGCCATATTTCATTAAACAAAGAAGAAATTACTTTTATTAGACGATAAGATCCAGTAATCCCTGGTAAGATGACCTACGAGTGACTTTCAAGTTGAAAATATTAAAAATAAATGATACTCGGTATTTAAACAAATATTGCAAAAAAAAAAAAGAATAGCAACTCACTGCTCTTTGTTGATGTCTGTATTCGTTTCCACAATATTTTCTTTGTCTCGGACTCTCGATCCAAAGTAGCAAGAAGTCTTGCGGTTGTTCTCTTTACGAGTGAAGTTCTGTTCTAGATATGGCGCGAACGATGCAGTTCCGTTCATGGACACTGGTGGTCGCGCTGGCCTGCGTGTCGGGTGGTGCATCCTCGGAGTACTTGATGGGCGGTCACGTGGACAACAGTCCGCCGAAGTCCCTGTTGGAAGAGATCGAATCGTCGCCGGCTTTGGCGAGGACGTCGCAGCTGGACGACCTTGACCTGGATCTCGACGCGGAGGAGAGCACCGTTGCCCTTTCGACGTCGAACGACGAGGACGCGTTGCGTTATCACGTCCCGTATCCTTTCGCCTTCAACGGTGGCAGACCGTTCTCGCTGGAAAAGGATCCGATCACCGGGCAGATCGACTTCGAGAAAGCGCCGCCCGTGAAGGCGTTGAACTACACCACGCGCTACCAAGACCGTCAACCAAACGACGACAAACAGACCAACAACGGTGCAGCGGACAATTTATCGAAGGAGGTCGCAGTAGCTGTTACCTACTCGAAGAAAAAGACCGAGAACAAAGAGACAGTGGACGTCAGCCCTAATGAGATCAATCCCTATTCGCCGAACTTCCATGACTTTCTCAATCTTCCTGTACGGTATTCTTCCGTCAAGGACAAATATCCGTTGATATCTAGTTCCTACGCGAACACCAAGGTTCAAAGTGGCTCGAACAGCTACAGCACCTACAATCACAAACCGTATCACGGGGAAACCGTTCTATATTATCCAACCAGGAAGCCGTACGTGCCAAAAACGACCGTGTCGACGGCCACAACAATGGCTCCTAGAACCACACCGTCGTCCACTACTACCACTACCACCACCACAACGACTCCTAGACCTACAACAACTACAACAACCACTACCACCACAACTACAACAACACCTCCTCCACGAACCACTGCCTCCACCACCACAAAAGCACCTGTTGTAACTACTTGGAAACCTCCGATTACTACTCCTAAGCGATATATCGATCATTTGGACGATTATGAAGATATTCTGCCGATAGAAAAGCTACAAGCTTCTATGTATAACAATAATAATAATCATCATCATCAGGGACCAAATAATATAGTTCACAACAGGGACCCACAGCTGAAACCGCCTATACACCATGATGAGTACATTGACACTTACGAAGATTATGAAATTGCCGAAGAGGATATGAAGGATTACGGTCCAGTGAAGGAATCGACAAACGAAATCGTTAAAACAAGCACCTTACCTACTACAATCCCCACTGTTCAGAACATAACGACTACTGCCGGAACACCAGAGACTACTGTAACCGTTACAACAAGTACGCTTGCTCCATCATCACAAACACCATCTTCGGTCTTCACAGGTTCTTCGCCGATGCCTCAGGACAGCACGTACCATAGTAATTCGTTAGCGTTCCAAGTGTCACCACAACGTCCAGTGACTTCAATGCCCTTGGACAATGATCCGAGGGTCCCGATTACATTCGAGAATGACAATAGAAGGCAAGGTGTAGCAGACAATGTCATAATTAATCACGGTTACAGACCGAATCCAATGGTCAATCAAAGACCAAGTGGCTTAGGCGGAATGCTGGTGGAAAGCACCAGTAACATTGTCATACCGCCTGATCAGGACACAGTCTCCTTTGTCCTTGGTAACAGACAGAACGTCGAAGGAGGATATTATTCACTGGGCACAGCCATTGGAGAGAATCTTTACGGTGGTTCGACTGGAATCGATTCCTCTTTCAGACCTCTACACAGTGCGCAATCCGATAAAGGTAACTACGAGCCGCAAGTACATCCGGGAACCGTTGGTCTGTCTTCGGTGTCCGTGCTCGATAATAATCCTATTTACGCCGCACAAACCTGGAGACAACCGAATCCTTCTGCTGCGCAAAAAACAACCAACGAGATAGAACCGTCCAGACCCCAAAACACATTCGTTAAGGGTACAGTGCTCATGGAACAAGTGGACGACAAAAAAAACGACAAAGATGTGAACTTCGTTGTGTTTCCTAAGGATGAACCGAAGCAACCCGTAGAGGAGCATATCGTGGTCATAAACGAAGCTGACGGATCTATACACGAGATCGTGCCTTCTTCGACCACAAGTAAACCCGTCAGGGTAGATTCATCCGTATCGAACGACGAACATTTGCCACAGCTCTCAGAGGACCTGACTCCACCGGCGGAAAGACCAAGGCCTCCGCAACAATTTTATTACCATTATCACCACGGCGGGACGGCGAGACCTGATCATCCAAGGCCTCAACGGCTACCGCTACCACCACCTCGTGGAAAGCAACCACTGCAACCTCCTCTTCCTCCATCTCCTCCCTCAGACCTAGGAATAAGGAGACGTCCCTATCCTGATTCCAATCTGCCCAACATTCTGCCACAGTTCAGACCTAACGCGAAAACATCTCACGGACACCGTGGTTCAGAGGCTATCGGAACTATTCCGGCTGGTCAGTCTTATCCCCCAAGAATGAGGCAACCCATACAGATTCATCCGCCTACGAGAAGACCACTACCACCTCCACCGCCGTCTTATCTGCAAAGACTGAATCCTCCACCGCCGCCAATCCACGCGCTCCGAGTCGCCGGTGCAGCCTCCACGAAGACCGAGAACGTTGTTCCACCCAGAGATTCGGAATCAACGGTCAAGAGGTTTCGTGTCCCGTCGGTACCAGCCACCTCCAGAGGCGACGAGGATATCAAATCGCTTCAGAGATTGTCCAGTCAAAAACTGCGCTTAGAAGAGGAGGAGGGGTCGGATCGTTACTCGGAAAAACGAAGAACAGCCGAATCACCGCATGTGGCCACCCTTCAAATGATCCAACAACACGGGGAATTCGAAGAGGATAACACGGAGTCAAGCCTGCAATCTGGCGGGCCAAACGTGAACGACGAATCAGAAGAGATTGTGACTGATCAGGAGGCAGATAGGCGAAAATTTGATAACAGAGAGACCATGGCCGAGCCGCCGGTCTACGTAGTCTATCCAGTTAACACCGCGGTGAACATACATCCTGACGATTCCCGAGAAAAAGACGAGA